ACAGAGAATGAAATGTTATTCATTTTGACTGGAGCCAAAAGACTCTCTTCTCCTTCGGTGATGGTTCTCTTTTACAAGTGGACAGCATGATCGTCAATTAAATAAATCCTCCTGGTCTCTTTTCGTGCTTACATCTTTTTGCGACCAAATTCAGCATTATTTTGCATGCAGGGCCCCCCCTGTGGTGTTGTGCTGGGGCCGGCTTGCTGAGACAGGACTTCAGATGGCCTTTGATGACTTTGTAATTGAACGTAATTTGGTTTCCTGCCTCTGAACTAATGAGGTGGACAGAGAGAATAGTGGCAGGGAAGAATACAGTCGTTTGCAGATAGGGGAAGGGGAAAAACTGCAGAAAAAATTTGTCTCTGGAGTGAGTGCGCTCAGGTTTTGAAAACAGCTGTCACCCTACCTTACCTCCTCATCACAGTGATAATAACCACATCACTATGCAGAACAGCAGCTCTGGACTTCTTCGTTCTCTGAAAGCTAAGTGTGTCAGGGAAAAAATGATAGGACAGATGGAGGTGAAGCTCATTTATTTCTGCAATTATTTTAATTTTTCTGAAAGTTAAGTTGGTAGTGGAAAAGGAAAAAAGTGAGCGCAACCAGCCAAATGTCAGGAAGGTTTGGGACAGAAAGGGGGTGTTCACAGGATGTACTCTGCAGTGTGGCTTTGGGGGAACCTATGAAGTCAGTAAAAGAAAAAAAAATAAGCCCTTAGGGAGAAACTTAAAAGTCAAAGAGATGCGAGATGCGAGATTAAATAGCCGTGTCCAAACATTTACAAAGGAACTGTCACAACAGCTTACCACTGAAGATATCAATTGGCACTTCATCTCTGCGTGACTGCGGGTGGCGAGGCACGGTGGCGAGCAGCTGGAGTTGCACCCCTCACTTCTCTCATTCGTCAGCCTGCCAGGGGATCGCTGCATGCTGCCGAGCGCTAACTGCACACTTTGAGCGCTGCAGCACACTTTCCCACCTGTCCTACCAACGCTAATGGCCCACAGCACCATTAGCTGGTCCACAGCCTTTGCTGCGAGGTGCTGATGTATACACACCATCAGCCGGGCTCAATCTGTTTCCCTCACTATTGACTCGTCGCTGTTGTGTTGCAACTTGCAGATTCCCTAATTAGCTGCAGAGCTGGCAATGAGCACACAGGTTACCCATCCACCACCTCCATCTCTGTCTGGTAGTTGATGCTCAGTGTTGCACCAGTGGAGGGAGTCGAGTCAAGGCTCTGCATTGATTGCTGCAGAATTGTTTTTGCAAAGGTAACCTACCTCAAGAGGATGGATCAATTTGTTATGATCCTGTGAGAAATCAATGTTTGTGTGTCACACCCTGATACTCCACTGAAGGCTTTGAAATCCCATCACTAATAACCAGTGAGTCACTTCTGAAATCGGTGGGTTTTTGCTGGGAACAGATGGAATAATGGTGTGAATTTCATTTCTAAGAACCCACATCCATCTTACAGTATAAGCTGGGGATATTAATTGATGAATCTCTCATTCATGTCGTCATTTGAGCATATTTTAATTGAAGTGACTTTCATGCAAACGTAATTGCTGCCGAGTAGCCCATTAGTCGAATGAAAATTAATGCTTATAGAATATTAATTCATCTTATGATTATAAGTCATTCTGATTGTGGTAAATCCAAGAATGTGATGTAATGAGTGTCCTTTAGGGTGTATAAACCCATATATATCCACCAGACTGTAAATTATACATAGTACAGAATGTACATACTGTAATATTCCTCCCATTCAAAGTACTGTAAGTGGCCCGTTTAAATATTCACCATGATCATGATATCACACCATTACGGACAACTGAAAAATGAGAAATTGAAAGGCTGACTGATGTTTTTAATTTAATGTTAGGGAACTAAGTCAAAGTCCATTTTCATTTTTGGAAATTGGGGATACAGTTGTATGAGTTTTTCTACACCATCCCACTTTAGTGTATCAACAAGGAAAAGAAAAGGGTAAAAAAGTCGAGAGAATAGAGATATCTCACACTCACAATCCTCTTCGTTATATACTTGTTTTTAGCGCCGACAGCAAAGGCGTAAAACATTATCTGTTTCGGTCAGATGAGGATTCAAACCTGAAACATCGAAAGCATCTGTTTATTCAATTGAATTACATCCAAACTTGAACATCTGTTCATTTTACACCTGTGAAAGAGGGAGAAAGATCTCTGAAGATTCACTCAAGTCATCAATATAAATATGCAACTGTTCCAACAACTTAACAAGAATGAATAACACCCAGTAGTTTGTGTAAATACAAATGCTAACAAGTACATGTACTGTGAAGATTTGGCAGCAAGAGATTGAACCCTGGTCCCTGTCATTTGTTTGCAAGTCACTGTTGATATACTGTATATGAGTGGAAGAATGTCATGCCATGTAAACTTATGTAAAATAAGTAAAAAAAATATTGGGGCAGCAGAACAGGCTGAAAATTAACATGCAGTATTTGGCGCTTCAGCTTCCAAATTTAAGCTATTTAGTCACTAATTTTGTCTGCCATTTGGTGTTTGGCAGGAAGTGTATAGATTTATCAAAGCTTGTTAACAGTGTTATAATAATAAGGTTAGCAGGCAGCTGAAAAATCAATCATACACTACCTGCTCAGCACCAAACACAGACAATGTTAGCAATTAGCTGATGAACATGGTTGAGCGTTTAGCAGCTAACAAGCTAAAAGAAGAGTGAATATTCGACTGACATTCATCACGAAGCAAATGTCCTTAGCAAGCAGAATTACCCTTTTCATTGTTAATTATTAAATGTTATATTTTTTTATTATTATTACTGATGAATTCAAATGTAAACAGACTTTTTACATTATATGTGGTTGCAGTGGAATTCACTTTAAGATTTTACATACTAAACTTACGATGAGTATACATTTTTTATGTTTATAGATTAAACTATCCAACTGAATATAAAGAACTTAATCTCAATGTAGTGAAGTAAAATGTACAATATACAGCATAAATATAAGGAAACATATATAAAAATAGTAACGGTTTGACCACTGTATAAGACATTTTTGATGGTATCTTGAAAATCAAAAAGCAACAAGGACACTTTCTTGAAGAAGCAACTTGGTAACGTTCCTTTTATCGATATACAATGTGAGTGATGAAACATGGATGGTGGATCCCACCTGCTGTACTGTACCATTTGCATTGCCTTTGAGCCTTACCGCCTTCTTCTTCACATCACCGTCCATCAAACATGCTCTAAAAGTTTTAAACTTAACGTGATGGAACACGCTTGAATTTAAATTACATCCGCTCTACAAAGAGGTTTGAACTGACAGCAGAAAGATTGGTCGGGATTTCAGAAAATGTTGCAGGTAGCAGCAGAAGGAGATGACATAACTTTAATTTTGGGGCTTTTGTTAAACATACATTTTCACTGTTATTGCTGGGTGGCAAATCAAAATCTATTTAACATCACCAACGTTTGGTGATCTGTTGTTATGACTCAGCTGTTGTACTACTGTAACCTGTTCAGTCATTACTTAGCTTTTCCTGTGGGCTGGATGCTTACCACCCATGACTAGTGATGTCAGCGATATTCAATGGACACCTTCATCCTCATTCATTTATTTTATCATGCTGTCAATATTAGAGAAAGTGTTAACAGATAGTGACAACAGTAGCAGCAAAAACCAATCAGTGATCTTTCTTGTTCCTATCTGAACAGCAACTACCCTCCCATCAAAAAGTCTGTCTGCATATATCTGACCTGCAGCAGCTATTGCCTCAGAGATTTCTGTAATTAAAACCAAACCTTCAGTTTGCCACTGACTGAGGCACTCTTCTGTTTGGCAAAACAGGCTTTCCCATCTTCCATTTACATTTTTATACATAGCAAAGAGAATTCCTGCTCCCACAGCACTCCTTTCTCTCTTGTGTAATGGCAGAAAGTGTTCAAGACTGCAGACCTAAGAATAACATATTTAAACTTATCCCCCAGGCATATGAATAACATATGTTACTCCGTTTAGGCAGTTTCTTTTACTGGTGGCCCAAAATGGTAACAAGATGTATACATTTTAAAAATATGAGCTTCCATTATTCAGAAATCTTCCTTTCTTTGGATGGATGAGCATTTGCTGCTGTTTCAGGGACAGTTTTTCTCTTTAACTTCTGATGCATCACTACCTTTGAGAATAAAAGTGTACATACTTTGATTTTTACTTCTGGTGAATGAGCAGATCAAACCAACATGGCCTCTTGTATGTGTATTTTTTTTTATTCAAAAGTCTTGCCAAATGCAGTTTGAAATGAATGCTTCAGACCAAAGAGAGTACAGTCACTAACTCAGTAGACTGATGACTCACTCTGTGGTCCTCGCATACAATGACATCGTAATTTCAGTGCTACACTGCATCATTATAAAGTGACCAATCACATTACAAAGAACCATACAGAGGTAAAAAAGCAAAAGGAAAGTATAGGTGATGGCTGGCGCAAAAGTTGATGGTGAAGTAATTCCATTTAACCCTCATCAATCTGTTACAAACAGTCAGTCTCAAACTGCTGGCCCAGGGGCCATTTCTGGCCCTCCATCCCACTCCCTAGTGGTTTAATATAAATTTAAACTACCCCTTAATGTACAATTAAAATAAATAAAATAAAGATTATATATTGCTTGGCGAAAAATAATAGCAAAGTTCCAAGGTGCCTGCAAATGTTTAGAAGTGGTAGATTAAAAAAAAGCAAGTTCTGGGCTTTTATTTGTTGTTTGGTTGGGAACAACAAAGATGATATGAGAATGTAAAAATTTATAGGAACTGCATTTGCACAAGTATGATGTAATGGAAATATTTTCAGAATATTGTGCTTTCTTGAAGTACTTGAACATTGAAGTGGCCCTCCTATAAGAGGACAATACCAGCAGTGGCCCCAAGCCAAATTGAGTTGGAGACCCCTGATTTAAACACAACATCTGCTGCTCTTTTGTTGTAGAAAATGCCATCCTGGCCTTTGGGAATGGATCGGACGTGAAAACGGGCTCCAGCCAGCCCGGGATGCCCAGTCCAGCGACGGACAACCAGAGCCCGCACTTGGCAACCACCGCCCCAGGCGTCTCCATGGAAACGGAGCAGAACATTCTGAGAGCACAGATACCTACTCAGGTGAGACGAGATGGAAGACTAAAAATGTGATGTACAACCTTTTCCAAACAGAGAGGCCCTAATGGAGGCGGCCTCGCTCAGAATTGGGTCGCACTACACTGCAGATAACTCGGGGTGTTTGTTTTATCCTGCAGGGAGCAGCAGACGGGTGGGATTTACATTATCTGCATAATTCAGACAGCGTCAGGTACAAAGTCAGTCACACAAAGACTGAGATGAAGAGAACTGAAGCTGTGTTTGTTTGTTATCACATGCAAAAAAAATCCCTTTATGCTTATTTGTGTCCAAATTCTAGGTGTAATAAGTTTATATTATGTAATTAAAATTTTAAAAAAGGTGTCCTTTTTATACGTTTACATTCATTTGGCAGATGCTTTTGTCCAAAGCAGCAATTTATGACACAGTAGATCAAGTAGAAGCTATCAAGAGTAAGTGGCAACATGCTCAGCTTCAATGAAAACAACTTTTTGCCAAAGAAATGTAAAAAAAAAACTAAAACAAAGATGTAACGCTTCGACCTTGCTGCTAAAGGCGAGTGTGGCTCTACACTTGTCAGTAGGGAAAGAAAAATAATGATCCATATGTTTCTTAAATGTCAATTTCCTGCTCATTAGTGTCAAATCGATATGGGATTTGCGAGTTAAATAAAATTGTGACAATGACACCTTATTATCTGATTATCCTTTTGTGCACAAACACACAATAAAAACTGCAGTTTGGTAATGATGCCTCACATTTGATTATCAAAACGTTTAAATGAAGATATGTGCTGAGGCAAGAAATACTGTATATGTTCCAATACATTGGTCAGGCTCTACTGCTCACTATAGACTAACCTATTGATGTTTATCATGTAGAGAATTAAAGTAAGTGAATGAAGGAAGCTTTGAAGCTTTAAGATTGGATGTAACTTTATTGATCCCAGAGGGATCATTAGATCTCTGCAGCAGTAAAAAGATTCAGCACACAAAGCAGAGCATAAAACAAACACGTTATAATAATGAGAATGAAAGAGTTAAGATAATTAGAACAAGCTGCGGAAAACAATGTAAACAAATTTGTGTTATATAAGCTTATTCTATTGATAGTTTACACACATTAACCAGACTTTACTGGAGAGAAAAACTGATGGCAGTTTCATATAAATGTTATTTGCACCATGATTGCAAATATAAACACAGCCTTAGTAACTTAAAATGTGCAATATGCTGCAGATAAATATATATAAGAAGATGCCATACAAAAGTGTCTGTGGACAGATGGAAGTTCCTGTACCTAACTATCAGCTAATGTAGAAACACTAGTGATGGAGTGTCAGAAGTCTTCGGGGGGTTCTGGGTCCTGTAGTTGTTATCACACATCACTAAAAGTGAACAATCAGCGTGAACACAAAACTCTTGAACTGTCTCATATTCCTAACTGCTCCATCAACAATATAAACAGGTTCTTTAAACATAATTACTGTAGCCCATGCCATGAAGTGGTAAAGTAAACAACTATTAAACTCTGTTGAGCATCAATTTTAATGTGGACAGCCTGTTCTGCATTAAACATACACACAGTATCTCCGATTTTAATAATGAGGAGAGAATTATAAATAATATAATTCACTGCAGGCTAAGGAAATTTGTTCCATGCATTCAGCATGGGAATTGGGAAAAATGCTGTAGATAACATAATTGACAATCCGCCAACAGATATAAATAAACTTCACAAGCTAAATGTATAACTAGGCCACTTACTTATTTCCAGAGGGAAAGCAGAAGAAAAGGGCCAAAAGCCCAAATTACATATTCTCGCCTCAGGTCCTCTGAAGCCCCTCGTCCCACACAGCGATTCTTTCAACAGTCTGTATCATCCTCCGACTGCATTAGACTTCATATTACGGTACAGAGATAAAGTAAACAGGGAAGTGACACTTTGCTGAGCACTGACATTTCGTCACCTGATCGTCGAGTATCAACTCAGGATCAAATAAAGTGTCACCGAGTCGACACCAGTCGGAGTTAATTAATCCAGTAAATGGGCTCTGGACAGCTGCCTCAGAGTCATATCATCAGACACACAACTCTTCAACCAACATCCTGTCACATTTAAATAACTGTCACTGATAATTCAACAAAAATTAAATTAACACTGGAGATGTTGCAGTGCATTTCAATCAGACCCGTCTTGTCCACAGTCGCAGCTGAATAGAAAGGACAGGACAACTCACTGTTAGCAATGTTATTTTCAACTACCTATGTATTGTCACTGTCACCTACATGGAAGAAGAAGACAGAGTTGCCAGCTAGGAAATGTTACAAATGTTCTTTTATTAGTACAGATCTCATTTTAAACTGTATAAAATTTCGATTCTATTTCAGGTTTCAACTTCACTTAAAAATGTCAGATTGCCATTCCAAGTATCAGTTTGTCATTATCATGTTTCATTATCCAATTTCCTTTTAATTCTAACATTTAATTATAATCTGATTATCCTTTATGTAGTAGAGTAAAATAATAATTTTGTGTATTTCATCTTATTTTCCCTTTTCCTATTTATCCCCCTTATCCCCCTTAAGGTATTAGATTCTCTAGAAATAAGTAAAACAAGTTGTTTTGTGTTAGATTTTTTCAATTGTCCCTGTTTTTTAAATAAAAATATACAAAGATGATTTCAGAATTGAGAATTTAACATAACTTTGCATAACTGACGTCCAAATAATACCATATAAGGCTACACAGCCAGCCCCCTGTGTGAGGAAGTTAATTCATGAGAATGGTACAGAAGAGTAAATAGAAGAACTTTACGAGCTCGGAGATTAAAGTCCTGCTCTCGGAGATAAACAAAGGAAAGTCCATCATTTCTTAACAGTGTCTGCAGTGTGAGTAAAGAACCTGTTAAAGCCAAGGAGTGGGGAAAAATAAGGAGTACTGTTAATGCCATGTCACCTGAGGGTCGTACTGCTGCTGAAATCAAGAAGAAGTGGTTTGATATGAAAAGCAAGGCAATCGATGACCGTAATGGGAGGGGGTCAAGGGGAAGTCTCACAGGTCATTGGCTAAAAGGTGATTGTCAGGCAGTGCAACAGAGGAGGTAATGTGAAGACAACCCTAACCCCATCAAAAGCCAATTTAAATTAATGATGATATCATTAGGCTATATGATACATTTAGAACTATATTATAATTTGAACTGTACAGTCAAACAGGATGCTGTCAGCATAATTATAAAGTGTAATTTACATAGGAAATTGCTTTATAATAATACACAATCCTTCAGTGAAAAACGTGTTTGGATAACAGCAGACCAATCGCACATGGCTCCTACGAGTGGTCTGGACCACTGATAAAGTGTGTCCGTGCCTAAGAAAAATTCTGAATAAGAAAAAATCTGTGAATGCTGCAAGTTCTCCTAAATCAGTCGAACAAGCCACTTAAAAACAAATATGTTGGTACGAGTGGACCAACTCTTGCATGAGGCCCAATTTCTTCTCTCGGACCTTCATCAGGTAAAATTCCTATAGACAACACCAGTTTCATACTGTATAAATGTATATAATCCTTATATAAATAAAGGCCATGCTACTGGTGATGTTTGTATGAATTTTACCTGGTGAAAGACTGAGGAAAGAAACATAATAAACAGTACAAACGTACAAGTGATTGACAGTGTAGAGGATTAGATTTTTTCAGTTACAGTCCCACACCACAAACCTGTAAAACTAATATAAAATATAGAAACAGTTGAGGAGCAAAGGAAAACAAAAGAGAAATTAAAAATAAAAAGAGTGCAGTTGAAATCTGATGGAGGATGGAGGGAGAAGAAGCGAATAATCTAGAGATGGAGCTCGACTGATTGAAGAGTTTATTCAGAATATGTTCGCAGTGAAAAAACATCGCTAGCTGTGAAATTGCGTCTGGCTGATAAGTGGCAATGTCCTCGCCATCACTTGTCTTATTTTTTCACTACAGATATGGAAAACTTGGCCATTATACCACATAGTTGGTCATAAAAATTCTCCTGGATCAGTTTTTTCCCCCACTGCTTATGCAAAAGATGGTTCCTGGTGTGGAACCTGGAGGCAGATTAGTTATTTTTCTACCCAAAAAAAAAAAAAAAATTGATGACTAATGACAACACGTGTTTGTTTTCTTTTAGGTAAACGAGAACGACAGATTGTGGGGCGACGAGGGAGACTCCACTCTTCCCTCTCCGGGCCTGTCGGACCGTGGAGCCGAGCCCATCCGCCTTTCCCTGCTGCTGGTCCTCGGTTGGCTGCTCCTGCTGCTACTCTCCGACCAATAAGAGGCCAGTATCAGCTGGCCTCCACGGACAAACCTCCAGACCTGGGGGGGAGGGTGGGTGAGAGAGAGAGAGAGAGAGAGCAAAGAGCCATTTTTGATGCATCAAATGACGTGCGGGAAAGGGGTCGACTCTGTCCCCCCGCTCCCCCTCTTCCCTCACCAAAATCAACTTAATCTCGTTTTTGTTGAATCATGATCAGAGCAGATGTGTGTGCAGCCCCACGCCTTGGAGGAAGACACCGGAAGGGTGCCGCTACAGCACCACGGGGGGTGGGGGGAACAGGAAGAACCACAACTCATTTCTTCGCTTCACTGCCTGCCCAAACCAAAACCTGTTACGAAACACACCACTGACTTTGCTCATCTGAAATATCGTCTAAGACTCCATGGAAAAGGCCCGTGGGTTCTGAAGGTGTACAGTGAACAGACTCACTGTACGAATGCAGTGCTGGGAAAAGTCTAAAAAAAAAAAAAAGATTATATATATATATATAAAACAAAACAAAAAAAATGTTTTTTTGTCCCTGAACATTCCTTGATGTAAAAGAAAAATATTAAATGTTAAGACTTTTCTCTCAGATGAACTGTGATGAAGTGTTACACGAGATTTAAGGTGGATGTGTGTGTTTGTCCACATGTCGCGCTCATTCAGCTCTGCTCTTTATTTTGACACTTTTATTATTTTATTATTAGACATAATTTTGTTACGCATATGTTAGATGGACGCACTTGTTATAATCAAGTCAAATCACAATGGAATTCTTTGTTTGTTGTTGTGTTTTAAGTGGCAGGATGAAGAGTTTGTTTCCAAATAAAGAATTATATATAGAAAAACTTAAGTTGTTAATTGAAATTTAACATTCAAGAAGCTCCCAAAGTCTGTAAAGGTGTTTTATTTTGTCAAACAAGGACCTACATTAGCCTTCAACGTATTGTAATTTGTTTTCATTTTATCATTTTGTATTAGTAGATGTCATTGGAAGGGGACTCTTCATATATTTCATTAAGCTTTAAGTGTGAGAGCCATTTGAGTTTTTCCTCTTCAGAAATGTATTTAAAAAATATCATGTGGTTATGGTGAAGCAACAACAGATGGAAACAAGTTTATATTTTTTAAATGTATGTGGACTTTGCCGCAGAGAAAACAGATATCTATAGACAAGTTTGTGACCAATCATGCTTTGCCGTGGCGGGAGGATTAGTGGAAGACAGACGGAGCGGGTTTTGATGCATGAACAGATGCATCTGTTTTTCGAGAGACTCATGAGATGAAGGTGGTGACCCACGTTAGCCCACTACCTGCTGGGACTCTTCACTCGATGTGGGACGCCAGAGGATTTACAATATGTACTGTAAAAGCTCAGTTCTGCTTTGTGGAGCGGACACGTCTATGAAATGTGTTGAGGGGTTGGTCATGTGTCATCTTCAATACTGCCATTGAATTCAGTTAAATTAAGGAAGCACCCATTGGTTTCATGCATTATTAAATGACACAACATATGTTGATTTTAACACAAAGAGAAAATGTGTTGCCCCCAAGCTACAGCAGACCTGATGAAAATGACACTTTCTAGTTGGACCTATAAAAGCTCACACTATAAGCTCATAATATTGTCATAACAGCACAATAGTTGTTGGATTTTGCCTGCCAAGTTCCACAGGAAGGAAAAAAAACTGTTTATTCTTCCTCAATGATGCCAATGTAGTTTTGAAACAACACCCCATTTGGGGCGAAGGACCTAAAAAATTATTCAACACATACACAGATGTCTTAAAGGGGCAGTTCACTCAAATCACAAACAATATTTTCTCACTTGCCTGTAGGAGGTATCAGGTATGCAGACCCAGGTTTTGAGATTCTCTGAGATTGCTGCTGCCATCAAAATACAATAAAGATCATTTAAATTTTTCTTTGATCTACGTTCTTGATACCAAAGCTGAGAGGTTAAGTATGTCCCGCAGTTTCCACTCAAGCTCCATATTGAGGCTTGTATCACTTTGAAAACATAATTTGATTGATGAAAAAAACAAGGCATTATTTTCACATCTGTTTTGTGTTCCCACCCGTCTAAACTCCATTTGTGTTATCCCTCAGTATCCCAATTTTCTGGATATTTCACAAGGTATAGTTGCAAACGTACGCTACTATTCAAACGTTTTGAATCACATTCCACATAAGCTGAGAGGTCTTTCATGCTTTCAAGTTTAGAAAGTCCTCTTTACAAGGTTATTTTGTATGAAGGGTTTGCAAAAGAATTATGTTTTGTACATTGAGAGCAAAACGCTGTTCAATGGTTCAACCAGACTTACAAAAGAAAGGGCAGAAAGAGACAAAGATTCCTCTGAGCAAGAGTTAAATAAGAATATTAAAAAAATGTAATTGTTAAAGAAATTGGAAGCGCAGAATCAAAATCTGTGCAGATTTAAAGAGGAACAGGTTCCTGTTCCAGTCTCAAGGGTACAATAATGCTTTTAACAAGTTGGAATGAACGGGTGTGTTGCTTTGAGATAGAAACTTAGTACTATTGAAACCGGATCCCAGACTATCAGCTGAACATGCTCTGGACGGCCAAATAACAGTTGAAACCTGTTTAATCTAACAACTGAGTGCAAAACATTTAGAGCCCAATTGCACTGTTGTGGTTCAATAATGGTAATGGTCACTTTTCTGGACTGGAAAACAAATCCCAATCGAAGGATTTCTTTGGAGGAAATGCAACACTGTGGGGACATCGATTAAATAGAAGTTTTAATCATTTAATCCTTCTCCTTTGAAACTATTTCAAAGGAAAATAACGTTTGGTGTCTGATTTACACTGTTTTTATCTGAACAGTCATTAACTGAAGGAAAGAGGATAAACATCAATGTAACAGGTGATTCCAAACTTTTGAATGGTAGTGTACATGAAAATAGGTGCATCATTAGCACATTTTTAACTTAGAAACACAATACTAACACATTATCACCTTGTAAAGCTGTTTTGGCCAGTGTGCTAGTAAACTGTTGCCAATCTATTCATTCATTTAGTCGCAGAGCAAATTTAAGTCCAAGTTTTACTCTCCTTTTAGCTTTAGGAAATATCTCTTTATGAGTTAAATGTTCCACTATGTTCACCAGCTAGTCACTAACCTTTTCAGCCATTTGGTGGTTGCAGTGGGATTATCAGAGAGAAAACCACTGGAAAAGACATTGAATGCTGTCGGTCAGTCACTTTTAGCATTTTAGTAGTCATTTGACCCATTGTTGATTGAAAGTTTTTTATCCAAACCTGGGCAAATAAAATCCAGATTTACTACTAGATGTAAGTGAGAAATATGTTTGTGATTTTGAGAACTGATCCATTAAATTTTCATTACCAAAACTGCAGTTATGTGGTTACCTGGCGATAAGAGTGTCTCAGTGATACCTCTTGCTTTCACAAAGCCTCCGTTTCCAGCTGAGCTCTGTTGTCCCAGTTTGATTTGTCTTGTGATTTATCAGTCAGCGGGTGTCCTGTGGCGTGCTCTGCTGCCGTGAGGTGACTGACCAACCTGCTCCCTGTTCATCTGCGCCAGCAGAATCTCAGATGTGACATGTGTCACTTCCTGCAAATAAAGGCGACACTGTAAGTGGAGGTGAATTCTGACCAGTTTTCTTGCGCTGAGGGGAGGTGCTTTTTCACCTGTCTAGAAATGTTTGGTCTCCTGACAAAACTCTTGACCCTTATCCAGATTCAACTAAGTTCAGCATCACCTCAGAGGAACCTTTTCTTCCCTCTAGCAGCACCCCTGGCATCAAGTTCAAAGTCCATTTTTCATCACATACAGGGAGTGATTTGTAAAGATGTTATAGTATAGTGTATATACTACACAGTGTATACCATATACAGTATATGATGTCTATAACATTCATACCTTGAGTAATAATAAAAAAGATTTTATCCAAGGTTTTGCTTTTGATATGTCAGACAGAGAAAATCACTGCAGGCTGATTCTGACATTAACTTTATAAAGCACAACTTTGAGCACAAACTTGTGCATCAGAAACTTTAATAAATGAGACCCCTGGTGTAAACAAACCTAGAGCAGATTTGTGTTTCTTCTAACCTACTCTATACCTTAAGACTATAGTGTAGCATCTAAGGTAAAGCACATTGCAGCTGTAAAATCTATGGAAGACAATGAGGTATGTGAGCCACAGAAAGACGTTATTGTAGTCATAACGTCTTGGCAAAAATATCAAAATTACCCGAAAGTAACCTGACGTAAGTTTAAAACCACTGCGTCATCATCTCACCCACATTGCTTATTTCGGCCACAGAAAAAGACTCAGGCATTCATCCTTTTACAAAGTGAGACTCCAGCTGCCACTGTGCCACCTGTGCTTTGCATATGGCGGCTGTAATTGCTCCCAGTCTTCATGTTTTGGGTCAACAGCTATGTGGGACAGACCTCCTGCTGTCCCACATACTGTAGCTGTTGGGCCCATGGCTGCTGTGGCTGGCTGATAAAAGGCTAAAAATCTGACCACCAACAGGAAGCCGAGCACAGTATGAGATCAGAAACTAATGTGGGGTATTATCTATAACAGGGTTTCTTAACCTGTGACATTTTTTAGGTCCCCAAATTCTTCTCTCCATCAATTAAAGATTCATCAAGTTTTGACAGCACAGAGGGAGCTCTAAATGAACTATATACATACTAAAGAGAAAGATTTAAAAACTTCTTTTAGCCTTTTTAGTCTTAGTAGAAGTCTAATTTCTCAAAAACTCTTGCATGTCTTTTGAAAGTGTGAATTTATAAGTTAAGATAAGTTCTCCATGTTTCTGTGCTGTTAAAGGTTTGTTTACATCAGTAACTTGTGTAAACAAACACAGGTCTATTGTTGCAGTTATAGTGCATATGGAAACACAAAATACTTCTAGTCTAGTATGTTCAGTATTATACGGTAAGAATCTATGATTGGACCCTAAAAACAAACTAGATGACATCAAGAGGAGCAATTTCATGACTTTACAAGAAATGAAAAGACATGAAATATGCTAACTGA